AGACGGGAGGAAATAAATTACGAATTATAAAAGGGGAAACCGCAGGTAATGGAAGGTAATATATACATACCGCGCCACCAGAGAAAAGCATGTAAGGCGCGATAGCCGTACGAGGAACCACAAAAAAGCCAACGTTATCTAAGAGTTATCTTCTGGGAGACGGGCAAGATATCGGTTGGCAGACGTAGAACCGTATGTATCAACGGTAAAAAAATGTCTTCTCGTAAAATGAAGGGATCCGGAGGGACGCGGGTTTTACGGCAAAAGCTAAAGTCTACAGCGCTTGTACGGACAGAAGTATATATAATATATCTTTAAAAAGGAATCAACGCTGTATGACCAAACGTTTGTGGACACCTGACCATCAAGCCATGAGCTCGTTAGACATTCCAACAACCATGGGCGGTAACCATTGTAAAAAACGTGGCCGTTTAATATGGATTTGCCACACCTCCTTGTGGCCTCTCCTCATCCCGGGCAAGGCTTTCCACGAGATGTTGGAGTGTCATTATGGGAAGTTGAGTCTATCTAGAAGAACATTTGTGAGGTCAGGTACTGATGTTGGATGAGAAGACGTGGCTTCCGAATGGTGTTACCATTCATCCCAAAGGTGTTCAGTAGGGATATACCGATACAGATACTAGTACTAGTACTCATACTCGCCCAAATGCTCCGATGCCTAGCCCGATACTTCCTGTATCAGGAAGCCGGGCAGCGCGTCATTACACGTTGCCTGGTTTCCCGATTGGCCGGGAAGCCGGCTCCATGCTCCCTCGTCACTTGTGACGAGAGAGCATGGAGCCGACTTCCTGGCCAAACTGATTGGCCGGGAAGCCGGGTTCATGCTCCCTCGTCATCTCATGACGAGGGAGCATGGAGCCGGCCTCCCGGCCAAATAAGGAAGCTGGGCGCAGCGCCATTACGCAGCGCCCATCTTCCATGATTGGCCAGCAAGCCGGCTCCATGCTTTCTCGTCACATAGTGATGAGAAGCATGGGACGGCTTTCTTGTTAATCGGGAAGCCGGGTGGCGGGTCTTTACACGCTGCCAGGCTAATCAGGAAGCCAGGTGGAAAGTAATTACACGCCGCCTGGCTTCCTGAATGGGACTTCCGGTACTCGGTAATTGGTATCGGCGAGTACGGAAAAAAAAATATCGGTACTCGTACTCGGTACCAAAATACCGGTATCGGCGCATCCCTACCAAAAACCATGGGCGTTAACCATTGTAAAACCATGGGCGTTAATATGAATTTGCCCCCTCCTTATGGCCTCCCTCTTCTGGGCAGGCTTTGCACAAGATGTTGGAGTGTCATTATGGGAAGTTGGGTCTATCAAGCTAGAAGAACATTTGTGAGGTCAGGTACTGATGTTGGATGAGAAGACCTGGCTTCCGAATGGTGTTACCATTCATTCCAAAAGGTGTTCAGTAGGGTTGAGTTCCTCAACACCAAACCATGTCTTTATGGAGCTGGCCTTGTATGCAGGGGCACCTCATGCCAGAGTAGATAAGACTGTTGCCACAAAGTGGGGCCAGTTATCCAAATTGGCCCACCAAGTCCTCCGTAAAGTGGGGCCAGTTATCTAAATTGGCCCACCAGGTCCTCCGTAGCCAAAAAAGGACTGGACATTTTCTAGGGTGCCCTTACGGTTTTGGAAAATGTCCGTTTGCTGTAGCCATAACAGGTCCTTTCACCAAAAACACCCGAGCTCAGAAGTTTGGAGAAGTGTCCACATACTTTTGGTCATTTAGTGTATTATTAAGCACCTTCTTCAATGTGATATTACATGCATTCATTCCTTAGTAATAAGTAAAAAGGGAACACTTGTTCCTGTGACCAGGGCCGGATTTACTCTCTGCTGCCCCAAGGCCGGGTTCCTCAATTGCCCGAAGAAGGGCTAAATGTAGAAAAAAAAACTGCCCGGCGGCTGTGCTGCCCCTCTACTACCTGCTGCCCCAAGGCCGGGCCTCAGAAGTCTGGCCCTGCCTGTGACAAATGTCTAAGAGGGGATTGACTGGCGTTGAAGAGATTTCTAGAGTTGTAACCTCAGGAATTTGAGGGGAAATCTCTTCACATGAGACACAAATGGCCAAAGTAAAATACCTGACTGGGTTCAATTCTTCTAAAGCAGCTAAAACAATTTTTGGTTTTAGATATTCTTCAGTAAAAAAAAAAAAAGCCGTTATGGTCATTTTAACCTTGACTGATCTCTTCCTTCTTGTTCACACCAGTATCACCGGCTCAGGAGTCTGTGCCTTCTACATGGACGACATCGAGAAGGTCTTCAACGGAAAGTTCAAAGAGCAAAAGACCACCGAATCGGCTTGGACCCCCATTCCAGAAGACAAGGTCCCCGTGCCCAGGTAAGAGGCTGATCATGTCATCACATGCAAAGCTGTGGAGGTCCATGTGCAAGGCTGAGTCCCACTCTTCTTCCACCTCCAGGCCTGGTAGCTGTGCGGGGTCTGGAAACGCCGCCTCCTACAAAGCCTCCACGGAGTTCCCGGATGAGACCCTCTCCTTCATCAAATCCTACCCTCTCCTGGACGAGGCTGTGCCTTCTATAACGGAGACGCCGTGGTTCACAAAGACGACCAGCAGGTATGAACACGCACACCTCATTGTTGGCTATGAAGTAGATGTGTTGGCAAGGACCAAACGGCAACTAGTAAGCATGGGGTCAATATTGTCATTGCTTACATATAACTAATGTAGCGCTCACCCCCGAAGGAGCCGCTGAATGCCCGGTTCATCTCTAGTCTGTCTAGGGTATGTTCTTCAGCTGCCCACACATTAGCATTCACCGCCCTTCTTCTAGTGCCCACAAACTGATGTCCACTCCAGTAGTATAATGCAGAATAACGTTTTATTGAAAGTTTTCACTGGGGAGAGAGGATGGAGGGGTTCTAAACCTTCAGGGGTGACCAACGGGAGCTCCAGACTCACCAGACCTGGTTGGCATATCAGTGTAGTTCCACTTGGGAGGCAGCGGATAGCAACTGAATCAGCAGATAGGCAGGATGAATCCAGATCCTCAACACAGGAAAGACACCGACCATGCTCCTGAAGTCCTCTTAGTTCCAGAGTACTTCAAGAGCCAGCATTGGCCCTTGGTCTCTTCCTTCATCAGCATCACAGGCCTCCGCCATGTTGGAGGCCTCAGGGAAACCTTTTCAACACACCAGCCTATGCCCACCCCCAGGCCTAAGGCCGAGCCTGGGGGGCAGGCTGAACAGAGCTAGCATTGGCCCTTGGTCTCTTCTTTTATCAGCAACACAGGCCTCCTCCATGTTGGAGGACTCAGGGAAACCTTTTCAACACACCAGCCTATGCCCACCCCCAGGCCTAAGGCCGAGCCTGGGGGGCAGGCTGAACAGAGCTAGCATTGGCCCTTGGTCTCTTCTTTTATCAGCAACACAGGCCTCCTCCATGTTGGAGGACTCAGGGAAACCTTTTCAACACACCAGCCTATGCCCACCCCCAGGCCTCAGGCCTAGCCTGGGGGGCAGGCTGAACAGAGCCAGCATTGGCCCTTGGTCTCTTCCTTCATCAGCAACACAGGCCTCCTCCATGTTGGAGGCTTCAGAGAAACCTTTCCCTCACACCAGCCTATGCCCACCCCCAGGCCTCAGGCCTAGCCTGGGGGGCAGGCTGAACAGCGCCACCCAGCCCTATTCCAAGGCTGGTTCCGGCTAGTCTGAACACATGGCAAATCCCTCCAGTATATGTACCCTATCCCAGCATGCACCACTGGCTGAGAGAAACCCGGTGATTGGCTGCTGTACTGTACCTACACTATAGCATCTCTCATTGGCTGTCCCACAATATGACAGAGTCACACTCCGCCCAGGAGGGGGGGGGGGGTACAGGCAATGCCAGACACCTGGAATTAACCAGATAATTGCCACTATAATCCAGTCAGGCCGACTACAGCCCCGGCTACCACTAAATGTCTAGTAGCCACACTAGCAACTAGCAACAGGCTTGACAAAGATAAGCGATTTAAAATCTTCAGCCCTGATGTTTTTTGCCGGATTTGATTAGTTCTCATAGGAAAAATCGAATAAGCTCTCAAAATCCGGCCCCCAGGGAGCTTGTTACCACGTTATATGTTGACAAACAAAGCAAGACTCTTACAAATGTTTCATGGAATGCGCTTCATCTTAGAGCCCTATAGACTGTGATGGAGAGCAATGCTCCACTCACTTCCTTGCAGTATTAGTTAATGTATTAAAACCGATATAACCAGCCTACTCAATGTAATCGTGCTGTGAAACAACCGCATGGGGTCCCTCAGCCTTGCGACGACTGTTTTCTAGTCAATGGGGGGCAAGAGGCAACATACAAAAGGTTTAATGATCTAGTCGCTCACTTTAAAATGCTTTTGTTCCTTTAATATGTTCATGGTATCAAGCAAGTTCGCAAATGCAACCTCTTATGTTTCATTGTTCATTGAGCACCGTAATATAATAATCAAGGGTGCTTGCAGTTCAGATCTACTTCTGGTTCCTAATAAAGTCATAAAGTCACAGTTGCTACTGTCAACACACTGGGGCACTCCTCCTCCTCCGTTCCCCCCCCACCACCACCACCCTGATGTCTTCAGCACTGGTCACCATAGGAGAGATGACCAGTACTTTTGGGTATGGAGGACTCAGCAGCTTGCAGTGTAGACAACTGTGTGCCCCCAACCTTCAGAGAGCTCTGCCCTCAACCCTACTGAACACCTTTGGGATCAATTGGAACACTACATTACTGTGTCCCTCCAACCGTCACAGAGCTCTGCCCTCAGCCCTACTGAACACCTTTGGGAAGTATTGGAACACTACATTGCTGTGTCCCTCCAACCGTCACAGAGCTCTGCCCTCAGCCCTACTGAACACCTTTGGGAAGTATTGGAACACTACATTGCTGTGTCCCTCCAACCGTCACAGAGCTCTGCCCTCAGCCCTACTGAACACCTTTGGGAAGTATTGGAACACTACATTGCTGTGTCCCTCCAACCGTCACAGAGCTCTGCCCTCAGCCCTACTGAACACCTTTGGGAAGTATTGGAACACTACATTGCTGTGTCCCTCCAACCGTCACAGAGCTCTGCCCTCAGCCCTACTGAACACCTTTGGGAAGTATTGGAACACTACATTGCTGTGTCCCTCCAACCGTCACAGAGCTCTGCCCTCAGCCCTACTGAACACCTTTGGGAAGTATTGGAACACTACATTGCTGTGTCCCTCCAACCTTCACAGAGCTTTGCAATCAACCCTACTGAACACCTTTGAGATTCATTGGAACACTACATTACTGTGTGCCTCCAACCGTCACAGAGCTCTGCCCTCAACCCTACGGAACACACCTTTGGGTTGAATTGGAACACTACGTTACTGTGTTCCTCCAACCTTCACAGAGCTCTGTCCTCAACCCTACTGAGCACCTTTGGGATGAATTGGAACAATACATTACAAGGCAAAGGTTGTATTTGCGAAGGTTACAAAGGTTGTATTTGCAAGAAAATATGTGGCCACCCCTTCAAATAATGGAGCTCAGGTGAACCCAGTTGCAAAGGGTTCTGTTAATGCTACAGCATACAGAAACATGTTACACAATTGTGCTCCTCTTACCTTGTGGTAACAGTTTGATAAAGACCCTTTTCTGTGACTGTGCTCAAAGCCAACTCCATAAAGTCTGACCAGCTTGGTGTGGAGAATCTGGAGTGTCCTGCACAGACCCCTGACCTCAACCCTACTGAGGACCTTTGGAATATATTGGAACCTCAACTGTGAGCCAGGTCTTCTCACCCAACATGACATCACCAATGGGCACAAATTCCCACAGACACCCTCCACAATCTTGAGGAAAGTCTTCCCAGAAGAGTAGAGGTTGTTGTGGTCACAAAAGGATGACAGGGGGGTGAGGAGGTTGGTAACTCCATTTTAATGGCCATGGTTTTGAATGGGAAGGCCAACAAGCCCACCAACAGTATGTCTGATGGTCAGGGGTCCACCAACTTTTGGCCTCATAGCGTAGCTGGAAAGGATTATGAGGTCCTCCTCACACTACGTAGTTGTTATCATCAAAATCTTACTGCTTGTGAACAGATCTGTAATAAAGAATAGGAAAGAAAACTTTTTTTCTTTCTTCTTCTTCTCCTGTGGCGAATCTTCAATTTATTGTGTTTACTTTGGAGAATAAAAAGCAGCAATTAACAATTGACGTGCAGGAACGCAGGAGGTATCGGGTATCCCGCTCCGTAGTAAATTACCCCATTCATCATCTGCTGCAGAAAACAAAATGTAGCTCATACCTAATCCTGAACTGTGATTGACAAATAGACTCTTCTGCCTTTTCTCCAAAACTTCTATGTACAATCTTGCCCTTTGCATGATAGATGAGGTAATTTGTATCCCAAACCCATTCATCAGAGATCTGCTTGCTGTATAACAAACCGTCCCCGTTCTCCGAACACACACTGTCATCTGTTACCTGTTGTCCTGCCGACTACGCCCGATTTGTCATTCCACGGAGTTCCAAATACACGGAGGGCGGCTCTTGTCTTCAATTGCCATTTAAAGCAAATAGAGAGTCTGTTCAATTTTTCTTTTTTAACCTGTAAAAAAGAAGACTAGCTTGATATAAATAATAAGAATAAAAACCTGGTTTCATTGTATAAATTATACTTAGAAAACAATCATATGTACTCATTACACACTCGGTCTCTGTTGACAATTCAAGCCTGATGAGTTGGCCAACTCATTGATGCAACGTACTCCCAGAAAGGCGGATACAACATAAAACCAAAACCTTGGGTACACCTGACCATCACACCCCCCTTTATGGCCAAACGTATGTTGAGACCTCTCCAATAGATTGACTTCAGGTGTATAGTGAAGGTTCTGGTAATAATACATCATACAAAGACAATTGTGCTCTTCCAGCCTTGTGGTCACAGTTTGGTGAAGACCCTTTTCTGTTCCACCATGACTGTCCACTGTGTACAAAGCCAGCTCCATAAAAGACATGGTGTGACCAGTTTGGTGAAGGCCCTTTTCTGGTCCACCATGACTGCCCCCTGTGTACAAAGCCAACTCCATAAAGACATGGGGTGACCAGTTTAGTGAAGGTCCCTTTCTCTTCCACCATGACTGCCCCCTGTTTTCAAAGCCAACTCCATAAAGTCCTGGTTTGACCAGTTTGGTGTGGAGGAACTTGAGTGACCTTCACAGAGCTCTACCTTCAACCCTACTGAACACCTTTGGGATGAACTAGATTGCTGATTGCGAGCCAGGTCTTCTCATCCAACATCAGTACCTCACAAATGCTCTTTAGGCTGAATGGACATGTACCCACAGACACCCTCCAAAATACTACAGCATACAAATACATTGTAGACAGCTGTGCTCTTCGAACCTTGTAACAGTTTGGCTTGGTGAGGACCCTTTTCTGTTTCACCATGACTGCCCCCAACCCTACTAAACACCTTTGGGATGAATCGGAATACTACACTACATGGCAAAAAAGTATATGGCCAACCCTCCAAATAATGGAGTTCAGGTGTTCCCAGTGGCAAATGGTTCTGTTAATGCTACAGCATACAGAAACATTTTGGACAATTGTGGTAACAGTTTGGTGAAGACCCTTTTCTGTTCCACCATGACCGTCCCCTGTGTACAAAGCCAGCTCCATAAAGACATGGTTTGACCACTTTGGTGAAGACCCTTTCCTATGCCACCATGACTGTCCCCCTGTGTACAAAGCCAGCTCCATAAAGACATGGTTTGATGAGTCTGTTGTGGTGGAACTCAAGTGGCCTTCACTTGGACTAGTTTGGCATGGAGGAACTGCAAAAGGTCAACTCCATATTAATTGAACCAGACTGTGAGCTTGGTCCTCTTGACCAACACGGTTTGACCAGTTTGGTGGAGGGACTTGAGTGTCCTGCACAGAATCCTAACCTCACAAATCGGCCAAATTACCACAGACACCCTCAAGCATCTTGTAGAATCCTACCCAGAAGAGTGGGGGCCAACTCCATAGTAATGACCATGGTTGGTTTTAGAGAATGGGATGGCCAACAAGTTCATACAGATGTGATGGTCAGGTGTCCTCAAATGTTTGACCATAGAGTGCATCTTATCAGAGCAGCTACTAACAAGGGAGGCTGAGTGATTGCGTTGTCACTGTTACTCATTATGAAGGAAGGTTGGTAGGCATCTTTGTCATGAAGCCCTGGTGGTTTGGGACCCTACCAAACAGTTCCACATTTTACCAAAGCAGAAATGTTGTTGCGATAAGAGACAAAATGCTATTTCTAGAAGTGGACAGTTGTAAAAAATCTTCCCTTTTCTCCTTTTCTAGGTACAAATTGACCCAAATTGCCGCCGACACGTCAGCCGGCCCGTACGGAAACTACACGGTCCTGTTCCTCGGCTCGGAGGACGGGAAGGTGCTGAAGGTCTTGACCGGCACAACGGAGAACTCCACCGTGGAGACGGCTCTCTTGGAGGAGATTAATGTCTACAGCCAAGATAGGTGAGCTCATCCCCATAAAGACGACGGTGAATAATGTCATCCCACAAATCTGCCGCTTGCTAAGAGCCCTTGCGTCATCTCCCGTAGGTGCGGGGTGAAGGCGGAGGACGGCAAGATTTTGGGGCTGCAGGTGGACCGCGAAAACCACGCCTTGTTCGTCGCCTTCTCCAGCTGCATCGTCCGCGTCCCTCTGAGCCGCTGCGAAAGCTTCGGGACCTGCAGACGGTGAGTAACGGCGATGGGAAGATTATGTTTTCTTGTGTTCAGCAATTTTAACCCTCACACAGCTCGAGTATAAACATATCCCTTACATAGGACTACTACTCCCAACACCGAGCCTACAAGGTAGTAGTATGTTATGTAGGAAAGTGCACCAGGGCCAGGATAGGCAAAGCTCGAGTATAAACATATCCCTTCCATAGGACTACTACTCCCAACACTGAGCCTACAAGGTAGTAGTATGTCATGTAGGAAAGTGCACCAGAGCCAGGAAAAGGGGTAGACGGAACTGACTGGGGCACTTTAGCAATGGGGGGGAGGGATATGCAACCTGTGCTGCTGTCAGCGCTGAGACATCTCTGGTCATGTGACCACCCCGGGTGCCACGTGTTGGAGAGATGAGCTCCTTCTCACACATACTCCCAAATTATACACCCAACAGAGCTTCCGGCAAAATCACATTCTATAATCCTATAATGCTCCGCTTCCAAACTCCTGCCTGCCTGCGGGCTCTGTAACTTCTCCCTTTCTGGCTATCGGACCGCCTGTGCTTGTTCACAGAGCTCAGTAGCTGAAGCTGACATGTAAATGAATGCGTTTGAGCAGTGACTCCTCCCTTACTGGACGGCTCCGTCCGTGGTTTCCAGCAGACAAAGCCAGAAGCTTCTGTTGTTCTGCCTCTTTGGGTAGCTCACAGCGCTTTGGGAATCCTGTGTCCTGAGTTACATGTTTCACAGGACAAAGGTTCTCAAGACAATCTCTTTATCTATCTCTCTTATATCTATTATCTATCTATGTATGATAGATAGATAGATAGATAGATAGATATATGAGAGATGGATTAAGAGACATGAGAGAGAGAGATATGGAAGATCTATCCTATCTATCTATCTATCTATCTATCTATCTATCTATCTATCTATCTATCTATCTGATTATCTCTCTCTATCGATCATTTATGTCTATCTATTGCTCCATCTCTCTATCTCATGTTTACCTCCTATCTCTTTATCTATACCTCTTATATCAATGATCTATCTATATATGATAGATAGATAGATAGATAGATAGATAGATAGAGAGATATATAGAGAGAGAGATAGATAGATAGAGAGATATATAGAGAGAGAGATAGATAGATAGGATAGATCTTCTATTTCTCTCTCTCTCTCTCTCTCTCTCTCTCTCTCATGTCTACCATGATTTACCAAGATATCTTCCATCTCTATCTATCTATCTATCTATCTATCTATCTATCTATCTATCTATCTATCTATCTATCTATCTCCCTCTCTCTATGTTGATCCATGCATCTTATAGCAATCTATCTATATCTATCTTCTATCTATTGATCTATTTTATATCTATTATCTATGCATGTAAAGCATGTATCTCTATTTCCATCTATCTGCCCCACCTTCCCACTCTCTCTTTTTTCCCCCTGCTTATTTCTCACTCTCTCTCCTTGCCTCTTTCTATCTATCTATCTATCTATCTATCTATCTATCTATCTATCTATCTATCTATCTATCTATCTATCTATCTATCCATCCATCCATCCAATACACCATTCCCTACACCCCCTCCTCCTCCCGGCCCCCCCTATCTCTCCTTGTTCCGCGCCCTCTTCCAGTCCTCAGTATTAGGGAGGAGAGGGAGCAGGGAACGGCGATGCGTCCTACTCAGACGGTGACATTGAGGGGACACAATACACAATAATAACATTCGGTGATAAGGAGGAGAAGAGACATAAAGAAGAAGCCGGCTGATTAGGTCTATTTAGCGGCGCGCATTCATTTTCACAATGGCCTGTGATCTATTGTTCCGCGCCGGTTTTGCGGATGAATGCCCCCCCCCCTCTTTTTGTGCGGCGAGGGGAAATATAACTAGCTTGGAAATAATCTCATTAATAAAGTCGCACGGAGAACAAAAGCAGCTCAAATTTCACAACGGTTCATGCGTTCGTGTGCAGCAATGCCGCCGTGCCCGTCGCTGCGAAT